TAAGTAAATGGTAGAAAATAGTTATTTTATCTCAGACAGTTAACATAAATGTGTGATTTCTTTTGAACCCCCAACAACTTATATTAGGTAGTTAGGACCAGAATTAATGGCAACATGTTTATATGAGTGTCATTAGCTCGGCAATTATTTCTCAGTTAATTAAATCATATAGCCCCACATCGACGTATCCATTACTGGCTTGAGGTTTGAACAGGCTAGATGGGACCCCGCCTAAACAGGAAAATTAACAATGCAATTTCAAGTAGCCAAACAAATTGCAGGAAAATGATGCCTTTAATTTGAGGTGTGGTACTTCAAAGGGAATAATCATTACAAATGTAATAAGTTGTGATGGGTGATGGTTACTCCCTCTATCAATCATACTCATATTGTTTCTAAGTTTCAAGAAATTTCTTACTCATCAAATATTGTCATAAACGGTCACTAACAGTTACCATGGTTACAACTGATATTGTTTCAATTCTGTTTAATTGTCAGGTAAAACTCCAGTCTAGACAGCATGATTTCAAAGATATTCATCAAAGTTAATAAGTTTCAAAACTTACAAAACTGTAAACCCTTCTTAGTCTTGACCTGATTAATCTGGAACCCCTCCCTCTGGACGATTACCACAAGAAAACTTGCATGAATACAAAGGACATAATATGTGCACAATACTGAAATTGATAAAACAGGTAATCCGGAAATTTGACAACCTGGACAATTTCACTGGGAATCCTACCGTCCAGATTAATGGAGTTCCACTGTATATGGACTGTGAAGTATTTGTTTGTTTGTTTGTTTGTTTGTTTAACGCTGCATTCAGAAATATATAATGGCGGCCAGTAAATAATCAAGTCTGGACCAGACAACCCAGTGATCAATATTATGAACAAAGATCCACATCGTCCGGTTTAATTACATCCAATCATCCAAGTCACCGAGCCTGACCATTTGGTAACCCGTTACAATTCACATAAGTTGCTGGGGACCAATTCTAATCTGGAATCCCTATACAGCCACCTTTGAAAAAACAATGTAACAGTTCAACAACTTGGAAAGACAGGTATTGGTGAATAAGATTTAGCTGTATCTAGTAAGTGTTATTTCAAGCCATACCTATAAACCTTTGAGTGTGCTATATGACTCTAATAACCACATGTTAATCAATAACCCCCACAATAAATATGACATCATGCTATCCTCTCATTTATCTAACTTGCAAAAATCAATTATCTAATTTTTGCATTTATTGTTCAAGCTGTGAACAGATGTATACATCAAAAGGCGTCTCTGGTCTATAATTAATTTTGTGTCAAAACCAGACTGGTTGTAAAATTTGAAGTGTGAAAACTGTGACACGTTTCAATACTAATTTGTTTGAAACCTTTTGTTGCATTTTGAAAACACAATTTGAATGATTAAATTAAAGTTGTTCAAACCATGTTTTATCAGTTTCACCTTGAACCATGTTCTTTAATCAACACATTTGCCAATTTCGGACACAAATTGCCAAGAGTCTTAATATTGGGAAAGAGCAAGTGAGTGAATCCGGTTTTATGCTGCTATAAATAGTATTTCAGTTACATCAAGTCGAGTTAGTTTAATGTTGGAGGAAAGCTGAAAGTGACATAGGCCTTAGATGTTTGGTGAAACACAGTATTATTGTATGGGAAGAAAGCTACGGCAATAATCATTTCAAAAACAATGTCACAAAACAACCCAGTATTCCTTTAACAAGAATACACAGCTCAATCCTGTAACATCGATTGCTTATACCAGATAAAATGAAGTGGTTTATATGCACAGGGAGCTTACGGTTCAGTGAACGTCTTCACTAATACCACTGTGATTGTCACATTGTCCCATCTGACACACAATCGGAACACACCGATTTGCATTTCTCAACCCATTCCCTTCTCCTATAGCCCACTGGAATGCTATTTGCCTCCAGGCCACCCCGTGTCACTCAGCTATAACGGGAGCCCCCCCTCGGCTGACCAGCATAATGGCTTCTAAATACATTTATCAAATTAGTCTTGGTCACTAGACTTCACATTGTGCTAGTTTTGTCCAGTCACCCATATGCAACATCGGATTCTCGGGGTTTTATAAGAGGCAATTGTGTCAGTGCAAGGAATCCTAACAGAGAGATGTTTGTCTGGTCAAAGGATGTCGCTGTACAAGGCGCCAGAGTCCCGGTGCATCAAGACATAAAATTAATTGTCAGGATGGTTCCTCACAATGAATGGTCTTCACAAATTGTTCCCATGTGGAGAGTCAAACTCAAGCAGAGCTTTTAACCAACACTGTAGCTTACATTACCTCGCCAAATTAATTGAAGACGTTGCAAGTTGTATGAGAACAAAATAATCTTAATCTTGGATATAATGTTCCTATTTGACAATTGAGCCAATTATTTGTGTCCTATGTGGTACTTTTGCCTTTGAAGTATATAACAGCTTGATTAAATTGAGATTTAACATTTACTAGTAGCCAAACAAATAGAGTGCTATTAAATGGCACACACTACCACCAACACTATAAGGTGTGAATCACCCACAACACAAGGAAAAGACAATGCGCAGTTCATAAAAGTTCAGAAAATAATTGCCTAATTATCTCTCAGTAACAAAATCCATTAATGGGTCAATTTGTCCGTCAAACTGACACAAAACGGAGCCATTACAGGAGAATTGACCTAATGATGTTGGAAGGCCCTGCTACTACAGCACTCTGACAGGGTGCGAGCACCATTGTTACAATGCTAATGCAACCACAAGCTTTAACGAGAAACAATTTTGGACCACGCTTTCCAGGAAATTGAACAAACTTCGACAATCCATGACAAAAAAAAGTCTATTTTATCAATCTGAGATACATAAAAAACGTTTCTATTGCCAATCAATGGTTGTTTTTATCCCACTGGCTGTCATTCACATACCTGAATCAATGTTTTTTTCAATATTCCACATTTTCGTTAAAGCTTGTTTTTTGTATTCAAAGATAAGCGTTTAGATAGTTTGTTTAGAAAAAATTGCATGACTTTGATTAAATTAGTTCTTTTTTTAATTCAATAGATATTTCTGACACAAAGTTAATTCCCTCTTCCAAATGCAAGTCACACAATAATCTGAAGATAACCAGCTTTCTTCCATGGGTTTCCACTATTTGTCATTCATCTGATCGCCATTTTTTTAAAAATGGAAGCCACATGAAACTATTTCTCACTCAGTCTTATCTCGGTCTCCATATTTTCACCACTGATTTCTTGTTTGCCTCTCGTGTGTGGTATCTCCCCTTGTCTGTCACTCACTCACAACACACCTCCCGCACACACCTCTCTGTTCTTATACAGCCAGCCACTACACGCTCAACTCTGCATCTCGTACATGATAAGCCTTACAAACTAAAAAACCTAAGCCCCTTAAGCCAACATATTCGCCTTTTAAACATTACTTCTCGCCTCGGACATAATACACTACCTCATGTCACATTTGTCTATTCATGTTGGAATCTATTTCTGTGCACATTCTTTCAACATTGTATCCTAAAAGTTTGTTTAGTGGGCAACATGTGCTAATTTTCTGGTTAAACCTTCAGTCACTTACTGAATGCATTTGTCTTACTCTACCCAGTAGCCACACCAACAAGTCATCTGACGCCCCATTACTACAAAACGTTTTTTCTCCGCTACATGTTTTTTGTCCCATCAAACGTATCTCCGACACCTAAAATCAATTTCCTTATTCACTCCTCTATTTTTCCCTGTCTCCGACCTACCCTTACACTTATCGCCCCACCCATCCACGCTACCCACCTACACCCTACCCACCCTGACACACTACCCTTATACCAGCTGATTCCCTTCATCACCAGAGTCATCTCACGACTGTTTTAACCTCATGTACTTGAAGACTTCAAACTTAAAACTGAGACAGAAAAAAAACCTTTACAGCCCGACAAATCATCTGAAGATCCTGAATCAATACAGCATCTACTGATAAAAAAATCTGTGGCATCACGTTGAGACACATTATTCAAGACATGATAATATCCCTTTCAAACAAGCTCTCAGATCTTGCAAGACCTGCTAGGATTTTGGAAGCGAATCAATTCTCACACTGCTCTTTACAAAAATTGTCCCCATCCAAGATCCTTTATTACTCATCCCAATCCTTCTCTGTTCTGTCCATTTCTAAATCCCCTTCAACTTTCCCCCTCTGTGGTATGCATCTGCGTATCCCCCTTCTCTCCCTCCCCCTAAAACACACACTACTTGCCACTAATTCCCCCTCTCCCTTAATTCCCCTGTACCCCTTAATCTGGCCTCCCCTGACTCCATCCCTTAGCACTAGGGACTGAGTATTGATCGATGAGACCAGCCAAGCAGAACGACACCTCAGTGGCCTGGCTAGGTTTCTCCAGGCCTGGATCAGATTTCTATCCAACATCAAACAGAACAGGCACCTATTACCTTCTTTCTGCTGTGTAATTTAGCCGAGACATAGCTGGCTTGCTTTTCAGTTGGCGGCCTTGCCCCGCGTATTGTAAGCAGAGGCTAGCCTGCCTCCCTCCCTCCCTCCCACCATCTCCGTCAATAACAGTCCCAAACCAAGCACCTGTCTCCCTTCGTCTTTCTCATTCACCTCCAAACTGTCCCCTCTGCTTCATATTGTAAATATGTTTTCCCCATGGAAAACTCGTAAACAAGTCTTGAGTGGCTCTCCCGCTGATAAAAATCACGTCTTGTAGAAAGCTGAAAGTTTAAACGCAAGGACTTGGGGCACCCTTATTTCTCCCAGTGCCTCGTGGCTCAAGACCGATCCTTTGATGTAGCGCCCGGACTAACTTGTACAACAATGTTTCAATTCACATGCACACAACAGGGGGCTCTTTAAAACAATGTAGAACAGTTTGTGTACTAAGTGTCAACACACAATGTTGTACACATTTACTGCTAGAAAGGGGGTATGTATGTCCATTTAATCTTTACTTACTGATATAGTCTCGTCCATGTTATAGTTGGCAAGATTAAATCCGGTCTTTTTCTTCCAAATTTGCTCCTCAAGTGCTTTGTTGAGGTGAGCATTCACAAAGAAGCACTCAGCTGAAACGATATAATGAGTTCAATAAAAAAAAACGTGGAATGCTTTGACGTTTCGTTTATCTCAACTCGACCAAAGTAATGCTAAAAGCTATTGATCTAGGAAAATGACTTCAGACTGAGTTGTGTTTACCTTCCAAATGGTAAATCAAAAACGCTTTGCCATCTTACAGAATCATTACATGTTCTAAAACACGGTTCAATATTGACACAGTGTAGTGCTGTTCATTCTTGTAACTTTAAAAGAACGTGAAGTGTTCTGGAAATTCATTATTGTTAACTTCAACGCTGTCAACGACAACTGAATGCTTGTCACAAACATGTAAGACAAGGAACGTTATCAAAATTATACACTTGTTCCACATGCACGTTACAAGACCTACAGACACTAAAGTTCTATAAACCAAAATAAGTTAAAGAATAAGAGATACTTTTGCATGCTAGGTAAATAGCATATGATACTCAAGGCAAGGTGTGATAAACATGATAAAAAAAACCATAACATGCATGTACCTTCACGTGGAACTCGGACACTCCGACAAACTGGACCGGACGAAGGATGGGAGTAGGCGTGATTATGAAAAATATAAACAAAGACACTCAGCAACAAAACCAAGCAAGGACGTCGTCTACGTCTACAGCATGGACATGCAACACAACGGCATGGCAATTTACTTGACCTAACCTCTGCCATGAGTGTCCATTCTCGGACACTGGCGGTCGGTCACTCACTCGATCGATGAACAACATGCACGGGAGAGGTCAGGCTATAAACTCTCCCCCCAAAACTCACCATGTCTACTTTGAAGTTTTCCCATAGCTATCTGTGTCACACTTTTCCATCAAACTTTGCAGTATAAAAAGTCACTCATTCAACTTGAAGTAGTCCGAAAATCGCACTTTGAGAAGGGTAAGTTCCTGCTGAACGAGTGTCTCGCTCAACACCAGTCAACACCACCACCACATTCACTCACAACACGACGAGGGGGCGGGGTCGACCTACGTGATTGACAGTTGGACTAGTTCATTATCACGCGAGGGGTAAATACCTCAGATTCCTTTCCTTAGCGCGTTTATATCGCTACAATTAGGAGATGGGTGTTAAATTAACACGGGTAATATACGTCAAGCAGTTAGCTCGTCTAACAGTGTTTTTCGCTGGAAAGAACTGCTCAAACACGCATGTGTTAAATAGCAATTGGCCAACTTACCGCGTTTTTCGCGTTGCGTTTGACTGCGGATAATTAGACTGGTCCGTATGAGAACGTGTCTGATTGGCCCATTGTTGTGTCTGTCTTTGTTCCATTTATTGGTCCATGTTCATTCATCGGTGATTTCTTTGATCATACAGCGTGCGAAATGATATTCTCCTCTGCAATGCTCCGTTTTAATTTTTCATGGCTAACAGTACACACTATGGCGGCATATTTCACAACACAGAGGGCTTATACAACGGCCTGCAAAGTATTGAATCGTGGCGGCCGCTATACGGCGAGTGTACCGTGCGATTGTGCCTTTGATAACAATAGTATGACGTCACTGAATGTGTAACAATGTTTACGTTTTGTGCGAAGAAGGGACCACACCATCGCGTTGAGGGGGCGGGGCGATGACTTTGGAAAAAGGTTGATTTGTATGTCATTAAACTTTAATTATTTAATGCCTTCATTATTTCATGAAGATTCTTTGAAGTCAGTTTATCGCTGTTAAATGGAAATAACATTGAATATATGCATCGAATCTTTATGCCGTGAAAAGAACTTTCAAAGTAATATAACTTGAGTTGTATAATATCCCCATGTATTAGTGATAAACAAGAAAAAACATGTTAAAGAATGTTGATCGATTATTAGACATAAAATGTCAAAAGTGTTCATGCTTTGACAGCCGCCCGAGAATACATGCTTGACTAATTTTCATCCGATGCTTTCAATTCTGTGGTGCGTAACAACGATCCCATTGTGAAATATTCTTTTAACATTGTCACATCCGTCGAAATTCCCCCAAACAATACCTATCTACTTAATTCTTTATAGTGGCTCTCTTTAGCCGTTCCTTTGATGCTAACAGTAATGGGCTTTCATTGAAGTTTCAGATCTGTTGACATTTTGAGTACCCATGCCAATTTTTCAAGTATCTTATTTGTCGGGATTTGAAAAAAATCCACGAAAAAAATCCACTACATTTCATCATACCTTCTGATATTATGACATACTCTAAACGAGAGTGTTGCCTCATACGTGATGTATATCTGTGTTAACCCATATAGAAAGGATGAATAAAGCCATATTGATACATTGCTGACTACTCTGACGTCATTGCATGTAAACGTATGACGTTACAGCGAGTAAGTAAAAAACTGGCTATCACAACCTCCTTTGAAGTAAAACGATTGACAGCAATATACAACATATCTCGTGTGGAAATATAGAAGTAAATGCTTGTCTGATGTAAAATGATTCTAAGAGATGTATTTGTATATTGTAACTATCCATTGTTACGGATAAAAAGCATCAATGATCTAAGCGCTCTTTAGTCTATGCTCTTTTCTTGATAACGTGCTGTGAACTGAAGGAAGACCTTTTGATAACATGAGACGTTCAGTTAGACACAATGCGGTACGGGTTCAGTGCTGATTAATTTAGACGATAGACATTCCTGATTAAACAATATTGAAAAAATAGAACTTGCCACCATCTCTGGTGGAGTGGGTGAGCGTGGGTGGGTAAGGTGATGCTGTGAGAAGGCGTGGCTTTTGGGGTATGTATGTAAGCTTCATTATGTATAGGGGTGGAGTATTGGCACTGGCTGACATGTTCTAGAGAAGATTATTGATCCAGAAATATATGTTCGGAGTACCACTCTTAAAGTGACTGGACCCGTGAAGATTCCGGGGTAGAATAGGTCTTCAGAAACCCACGCTTGTCGTAAAAGGCGACTAACGGGATCGGGTGGTCAGGCTCGCTGACTTGGTTGATGCATGGCATCATATCCCAATTGCGTGGATCGATGCTCATGATATTAATCACTGGATTGTCTGGTTCAGACTCGATTATTTACAGACCGCCGTCATTCGCTGGAATATTGCTGAGTGCGGCGTTAAACAACAAACCAACCAACCAACTTAAAGTGACTGAGTATAGTTTCACACTACTGTTAGCAACATTCCAACAACATAATTAACTATAATAGTTCTTAAAGTGTGAGTGAGTATGGTTTTACGCCGCTTTTAGCAATATTCCAGCAATATCACGGCGGGAAAAACACTAGAAATGGGCTTCACACAATGTACCCATGTCGGGAATCGAACCCGGGCCTTCGGCGTGACGAGCGAACACTTTGACCACTAGCCTAATCGCCTCTCTACACTTTAAGAGGGGTGGTGGGGTAGCCTAATGGTTAAAGCGTTCGCTTGTCACGCCGAAGGCCCTGGTTCGATTCCCTACATGGGTACAATGTGTGAAGCCCATTTCTGGTGTCCCCCCGCCGTGATATTGCTGGAATAGTGCTAAAAGCGGCGTAAAACCATACACATTCACACGTTAAGAACTTCATTACCATGAGACACTGATTCCCTTACTTCCCCACCCCCTCCACACACTCACACACACACACACACACACACACACACACGCCACACACGCCACACACCCCTATCGTACTCACTCAATATATCATCGCACTGACAGAATATATCATCGTACATGATACATAATCATAGTCGCACAATTTAATCATACTCACACATATATCATCGTTCACACACGGCATATTTTCATCACACATATCTACCGGTAAGCATGTTACCACACTGACTAAACAGCAGGTTACGACTTGTCTCTTTGATCCCGTTCCGCCGTGAACGATCGACACATCAAACATATATATATTAATCATAATTCCGCTCGGAATGATTTTAATAAAACCAAGAAAGAAAATAATTTAACATATGCTACCAGGGTTTGAATAATGTAATGCGCCACGTCCCCCACCAATAATTGTCGCATTAAACAATTCATATATTTTTTAAGCGGGCTGTTTGATCTTTTTCCATATCTACTATGTAAGTGTGTTTCCATTGTCAGAGCGCAATGTTCCGGAGACTTGCCACTTTGAAGTATCATATTTTCATCAAACTTCAACCCTTTGATTGCAGTAGTGGAACGGGTATTACTAACAGTAATATTTATTTAAAATTCAAGTTGTATTTCGTTCAAGCACTATAAACTTACAGGATCACACGCAATAAAACGCGTTTGGGCAGGTAAACACGGGTTACATTAACGCGGCTTGGCGTGAGTGTACGCTCGTCGACACTGTTTGATCTGCCTGTATTTTGACTGGACGGCATACACAGTTGACTACTACAGTTGCAATCGTATGCCAGCCATTATCATGTAAGCTTCACCATATACCCTCGACGTCCACCTCCTGCAACATATATGTATAATGATTGTGTGCTTGTTGTTTAACGCATTGTTTCAGTATATGGCGGCTCTGTAAATAATCGATACAAACCAGCGATTGAGCAGCATCCCAGGTCATGGGGGTTTACAGTGACATGCAATCAACCAAGCCTGACCACCCGATTCACAGTCTTTCGCCTCGAACTACAGGGGCCTATTTTAAGCCGAAATCCCCATGGGGGAACGTTCAGTGAAATGAAAGGACAAAGTGATCGAGTTACGTTTATTTAATTCAACTTTTATAAACAAAACGACCCTTAAAAACTTGTTTAAATAAGCAACTCATCCAAAATCTTTAGAGTAACTGTTCAATTTTTCGGAACAACATTCCGTCGAGATGGGTGGTCAATACAAAGGGAGGGAACTCTTGATAATGCAAGCTTGTGGACGTGGGCGAAAATAATCCTCTTCTTGGCCCAAGTTTGCCCATGTCCAAATGCTGTAGCTGGTGAACGAGTAGACTTGAACAAGTCTTTAGGGCAATACTTATTAGTTGAAATAATACTTTCTAGATATTATATGTACTAAGTGGTCTCACTATATGGGTTTGGTTTGTTGTTGAACGCCGCACTCAGCAACATTCGAGCTATATGACGGCGGTCTGTAAATAATCGTGTCTGAAACCAGACAATCCAGTGATTGATATCATGCGCATCGATCCTCGCAATGTTGGATCGATGACATGCATCAACCAAGTCAGCGGTCCTGACCACCCGATCCCGTTAGTCGCCTTTTACGACAAGCATAGTCGCCTTTTACGGCAAGCATGGGTTGCTGAAGACCTATTCTATCCCGGAATCTTCACGGGTCATAAGAGACTGGCGTCCTTAGATGTACTGTCCACTTATCTAGACTTGCCTATTATAAGGATTGAATTACCATACACTCATGGACTTATCATTCAGTACAGCCTTGGAGCAAGGACAGACACTGGCGTCCTCAGGGAATTGTTTTCATATCGGATATATATTGTTAAACGATGATTGTAACTGTATTACATTGTTTCTATTCCGTAGAAGCTCACTGCACGTATTTGGACATTGGTTAGTTATCAGGAATTTAGTACTATTTAATGTACGCGGTGGTGAGGAAGTAATTATATCTAAATGCTCGAATTATCTTTAACTTGTTGAATAGCATGGATGGATGTCAAGCGTTATAGAAACATGTGGACTATTCTGTGATGTTCAAGTGACACTGGACTGGTTTGGCACTGTGTAGAAAGTGCTGGATGCTAGTTAGACTATATAAGTGGAGCGGGTGCGTCCCAGTCATCTCATTTTTCATCTCACATTTTATCTGACATTACATCAAGACCAGCTTCCATGTGGAGATCACTTTTCACCCTGGTGTTCAGAAACTTGACCACTGTTACGGTGAGGTGATTACTATTCTTGTCAATGTTGTTTCCGCTGCTCTCACATTTTATACTGCCTTTGAATATTGTACAACAACTCTCTTGTGTCCTGCCAGTATAATTGATTTGCAGTTATTCGTATTGATTTGTAAACCTACTTTATTTTGGAATAAATTAATGATTGTGTACTCTGTGCTTGTTGTTTGGTGGTTTCACACTAAATTGTTTTACGTACATATTTCTGGGTTAACATTGTTCCAATTCGGAAATCGACACGTAACAAATGATACAAATGAAGAAATAGCAAGAAATAACTGAATCTTTTTATGAAAACGTTTAACATCCAGTACATACTGTTTCCAGATGTTTGTGAAATAGTAAGACACAAGTATCATTCGTTATGCATCAGGAACTGGCTGCACAGTGCATATGGTGCCATTAACGGTTCGACATACTCCATCACTTATATTCTCCGACGACATTTGTACAAGGTGTATTGTTACCAGTATGGCGTGAATCGATAACAGTGTTGAGGTTCAACCCGAACCCCTATGCTAATTACACCAGCAAGGTGAGTGGTCTGTATTGCACATCATATGTCTATTTTCACATCTAACTTAACATTGGGATTCTGGGGCGGGATAAGCCCCTGTGCTTGTTGGAACGTCCGAGGCCAGTCGTCCAAGGCGCCGCAATTCGCAGGGTACGCCGGAAACCTATGATTGTGTGTTCGAATCCAGGTTTCATGGTTTGTCAGCACCATACCCGTGCTCGTTATGTGGTAAACGTCAGGGACCTGCATCACATTTTGTCCCACATTAAGCTGACACACCATGATGTAACTGGAATACTGTTAAGAGCGGCGTTAAACCCAACTCATGCACACACACAGACACCCACACACCATAGACACGGACACACACACCACAGACCAGACAACACACAGACACACAGAGACAGACAGACAGACACACCATACACACACACGCACACACACACCATACACACGCACACGCACGTAACATCCGACTGAATGTGGACCAGGTGGTTAGGTCTTGGTGGTTCGTCAGGTTACTTAGCTGATTGCGTGTCATGGTATACCCGGACGACATGGATCCCAGTTCGTGCTATTGATCACTGGATTTCGCCCCGCAAAACAATGTTAATAAATATATATCTAAAGTATGCGTTAAAGAATATGAGTTCGGACCACTCACTTTGTGGGACGGACGCCTGGTGTTCCTGGCCCAATCTTGATAACACCACGATATATCTGGAATAATGTGTCTGCGGCGTAAAACAACGCTCACTTACTTAATGCACCCGGGCAAACAGTCAGACAATCCAGTGATTGATATGGTTGCTGTAAAAGGCGACTATGCTTGTCGTAAGAGGCTACTAACGGGATCGGGTCATCTTCCCTAGGCAAGAGAGTTTACTGACTTTAAAAGTCCAGATTCCACCCCTGACGAACTTGGCTGGAATTCGTGGGCTCGATCGTAGCGCCACCAGTGGTTATTTCGAGTTATGTCCCTTGTTAGCCTCTCCTATGGACCAATCAGATTCCATCACTTGCATTTGTTTCAAACAAAACGGTGGCGCCCAGTCAAGACGATCTGGTCGATAATCAATCTATGTTTGTTAAAAAGGGTCTTACATCGCGAAGTGCATCAAATCACGGGAGCACCTTTATCAAAAACATTAAAAGGTTTGGAAAATATCTGTTGACAACGATGTGGCGGTGCGCATGCTTTGCAAATCCTGCAATCGACCGAAATCTGCGCGACAGTTTACGAACCGGATTTCGATTTCGTTGCGCGATTTTGATTGGACTATGCATAGACTCGTTAGTCCAGCCAAAATCTAACTCCATTATACCAGCCTAGTTCTGCAAGGGGGGAAACTGGACTTTTTATAGTCAGTTAACTCTCTTGCGTGGTCAGACTCGCTAACTTGGTTGATGCATGCCATCGTGTCCAAATTGCGTGGGTCGATGCTCATGATGTCAATCACTTGATTGTCTGGTCCAGACTCGATTATTTACAGACCGCCGTCATATAGCTGGAATATTGCTGAGTGCGGCGTTACACAACAAACTAACTAATGACATTAAGAGCAACGTCATGCACACGCTGTCGCCGAGTGTGACCCCCCGATCTATCTACTTCACAACACAAAGTATTGCTTCTGACCTGAGAACACTAATTACTGCTTCTTGCTTCAGAACACCAAGAATTGCTTCTGACTTCAGAAAACAAAGTACTGCTTCTGACTTCAGAACACCAAGTACTGCTTTTGGCTTCAGAACACTAATTACTGCTTCTGACTTCAGAACACCAAGTGCTGCTTCTGACTTCAGAACACCAAGTGCTGCTTCTGACTTCAGAAAACCAAGTGCTGCTTCTGACTTCAGAACACCAAGTGCTGCTTCTGACTTCAGAACACTAAGTACTGCTTCTGACTTCAGAACACCAAGTGCTGCTTCTGACTTCAGAACACTAAGTACTGCTTCTGACTTCAGAACACCAAGTGCTGCTTCTGACTTCAGAACACTAAGTACTGCTTCTGACTTCAGAACACCAAGTGCTGCTTCTGACTTCAGAACACTAAGTACTGCTTCTGACTTCAGAACACCAAGTGCTGCTTCTGACTTCAGAACACTAATTACTGCTTCTGACTTCAGAACACCAAGTGCTGCTTCTGACTTCAGAACACCAAGTGCTGCTTCTGACTTCAGAAAACCAAGTGCTGCTTCTGACTTCAGAACACCAAGTGCTGCTTCTGACTTCAGAACACTAAGTGCTGCTTCTGACTTCAGAAAACCAAGTGCTGCTTCTGACTTCAGAACACCAAGTGCTACTTCTGACTTCAGAACACTAAGTACTGCTTCTGACTTCAGAACACCAAGTGCTGCTTCTGACTTCAGAACACTAAGTACTGCTTCTATACTACTGTGTGGCGTGCATGTGTATGTGTGATATCATGCATATGTAGTGATAGTCTTCACCGTCACCTCACCACGGAGGACAAGGGCGCTACTCCTAGAGTGGCCAACCCGCCAGGACTCTGGGTAAGATTACAGGCCCCATGCAACCTCTGCTTGCCATAAGAGGCGACAAACGGGATGGGGTGGTCAGGCTCGCTGACTAGGTCCATGCATGTCATCGTATCCCAATTGTGTAGATCGATGCTCATGATGTCAATCACTGAATTATGTGTTCAAGACTTGATTATTTACAAACCGCCGTCATACACCTGGAATATTGCTGAGTGCGGCGTTAAACAACAAACAAACAAAACAGTACACTGAGTGAGATGTGTTTAACGCCCCTTTGAAAAATGTGTCATTTATGTCACGGCGTGTCAGCTTTATGTAGAAGGAAAGCTATTGTGAAAAAGCAAGTCTAACCTGCTCTAGCTAGTTCAATTCCACATGAAAACAGCATCAGGAAAATTCTTTGTTTAATTTTAGACGACGAGAAGAGTATTGAGTAATACAAGATTTCATAGGCTAAATATAAGTCTTGGCTTGATCCCGGCTGCTGATATACAGGCAATGTGGACGTGCAATTACTATGAGACAATTACTATGACATGTATAGACAACTACAGCGGTAATATATCACCATGCACGAACACTGTCAAACACAAGACACTGGAGTTGTACAAATCGTCCAAACTCCTCCCCACAAAACATCTGACACTGTTTCAAACTTCCCGTCACAAAATCAAATTTAACGCACTAAAAAGTGAGGAAAATGCAATGTAAGACATTTCATTTTTTTCCATCACCGACTTCTGGCAAGTTTTGTTGTTGTCTATTCTAAAATGAAGCAAACATCTTTTCCCACTTTAACCCCGATCACACTTTTCGAAAATTCCAACAGCCAGAGCTAGGTTTCAAATCATGTATAATAAAAAGGATACTGAATATACGCTCGTTACAAAAAGAAAAAAAACACCAAAAAAAACGCCAGGCGTTTCTTTTGCCAACGTCTGACAAAATATCAGCTGTTTGATATTTTTTAAGGAGCACGATTTCGATTTGAAACAGCGATTGTTACACTAACAGAGTGACGCCTCGCATGTTTCTCTCAGCCTGTTCAAGGGACCTAGCCTCTGTATGTGTCATACTGTCGAGCAAATGGCCATCTCTTCTGGTAAATGTCAGAATCAAGAGATGGTGAGTATTATGTTGACTCCACAACTCAGGAACTAAGTGAATGCGATCCAAGTAAACCTTCAACATAGCCTGTCCCCGGAAACATTACACAAAATGCCATTTGAGATTCACTTGTCCCTAATTCGATAACCCACTCACTGACTCCGTTACGAGAAGCAGGTCCAATATAAAGTCACTGATCGCATAGGATTAAAGAACAAAGCAACGACTCCATTACGTTTTTATACGGCTAATCGTCAATAATTTACTGGAATGGACACATTTTCCATGCGATACATGCATTTACTTAATTTCGATCACAAGGGGCAATGTCAATCTGCAGTGCCTAAAGTGGTCCGAGCTCACACCTCGTGGATCTAGACCACACAGAGTTATCTCCCCTTAGACTATTCGCTTGAGACCCTTTTCCTTTGATGTTATAAATTGTATGTCGTCCCCATAGCTAAATATGAAAACAATACTAGGATTGAGTGCATAGGTAGTCATTTGGAGCAAAGATCCTAATGCACTGAATTTGTAATAGATACGATCAAAGACTAGCGTACGTATCGATTGGTTTGTAACTGATTCCCTTTGATCAAGTAGCAAGCTTATTCTAGCTTTGAATCCATCCTTCCATCGCCACTGACAGAAAACAATTTAAAGCTCAGCTAATAAATTTTCGATGTTTCTGCCTTTGTGAATTTCATTTGTTGGATTAGTGAGAGAGTTTTGCGTGGCAATTTACCGAGAAAAGCAATGCATTACTTGGGGAGACGGGCATTGCGAAGCGCTAATTAACCCCAGCTGAAGTACACCTACATCAATGCTGGACTGTCGCCAACTGCTATATGTCTAGTACCTATGTCACGCAATTGCTACGATCAGCATAAAGAGGATTCTAAGGAGGGGGATTATGTCAAACACACTAATTAAAACTTAATGAAGTCAAATTTTTCTTTGACAAAAACAAAACAAACCACAAAACCACAAAGGTCAAACGGTGTTCATGTGAATAGGCATGGCCTCAAAAATCAGTATTATGACAAGGTGATTTCCTAATTGAAACGCAGGTTAATCCGGAAATCGGCTCGTACAGAACTAAATTGTTCAATCAGTAAATGACCGCGCATGATCAATCAATAATCAATAAGTTATATTTAAACACACAGTTTCAGGTTTAAAATCAAGATAGGCAATACAAACAATACAATGGGTCAAATTACCCGTGAAGATCCGGGGTAGAATACCGGTAGATACCGGTAGAATAGGTCTTCAGCAACCAATGCTTGCCGTAAAAGGCGACTATGCTTGTCGTAAGAGGCGACTAAAGGGATCGGGTGGTCAGGCTCGCTGACTTGGTTGATGCATGTCATCCATCCCAATTGCGTGGGTCGATGCTCATTATATCAATCACTGGATATGGTCCAGACTCGATTATTTACAGACCGACGTCATATAGCTGGAATATTGCTGAGTGCAGCGTTAAACAACAAACAAACAAACAATGTGTCAAATAGGCGACCGCAGCAATAAGTAACGGACACTAGAATCAGATGTTAGTGAACTCACGAATGTTCAGAATATTGTCACTATGGAATGTCTTGAAAGGGGCCTGTCTCTGTTCTTGAATCCAGAATAATAGTGGAAGTTGGCAGAAAACGATGTTTCCAAATAGTATTCCAAACTCCACTTGGCACGGAGATTAGATCAGGTCAGGCCGTAAAGGCCGCGAATTACCACTGGAAGTTCTACTGGATATAACATACACGAGTGTATATATCTATATATATATATAACATATATATGTAACATATACGATAGTTGATAATTACAGTATATATAGCCCAACAGATGTATATAATATAAAAAGTATATATAACTATATGTATATAAACTAACAGGTGAACATATCATGCATGACTATATAACAATAGTATATATAACCTAATAGATGGACATAAAATATACGAGAGTAAAATACTACAGTCTACATACCTAACAGATTAATATAGCAAATACACGAGAGTATATAACTACAGAATATGTAACATAACAGATGTATATATCACGCATGAGAGTTTATAACAACAGTATTTATAACTAACAGATGTGCATAACATCCACGAAAATATATAAAAAAGCATATATAACCTAACATATGTATATAACGTACACGACCGTATAAAACATGTACGAGAGTATATAATAACAACATATATAACCTAACAGATGTATATTAAATGCACGAGAGTATATAACTACAGCATATATAACCTAACAGATGAATATAACATGCACGAGAGTATATAACTACAATATATATAACCTAACAGATATATATAACATGCACGAGAGTATATAACTACAGCATATATAACCTAACAGATGTATATAACATGTACGAGGGTATATAATAACAACAAATATAACCTAACAGATGTATATAACATGTACGAGTGTATATAATAACAACATTTATAACCTAACAGATGTATATAACATACACGAGAGTATATACCTACAATATATATATATATAACCTAACAGATGTATATAACATGTACGAGAGTATATAACTCCAGTATATATAACCTTACAAATGTATATAACATGTACGAGAGTATATAATAACAACATATATAACCCAAATGATGTATATAACATGCACGAGAGTTATAACAACAGTATATATAACCTAACAGATGTATATAACATGCACGAGAGTTTATAACAACAGCATATATAACCTAACAGATGTATATAACATGCTCGAGAGTATATAACTACAACATATATAACCTAACAGATGTGTATAACATGCTCGAGAGTATATAACTACAGCATATATAACCCAAATGATGTATATAACATGCACGAGAGTTTATAACAACAGCATATATAACCTAACAGATGTATATAACATGAGCGAGAGTTTATAACAACAGCATATATAACCTAACAGATGTATATAACATGCACGAGAGTTTATAACTACAGCATATATAACCTAACAGATGTATATAACATGCACAAGAGTTTATAACAACAGCATATATAACCTAACATATGTATATAACATGCACAAGAGTTTATAACAACAGCATATATAACCTAACAGATGTATATAACATGCACGAGAGTTTATAACTACAGCATATATAACCTAACAGATGTATATAACATGCACGAGCGTTTATAACTACAGCATATATAACCTAACAGATGTATATAACATGCTCGAGAGTTTATAACAACAGCATATATAACCTAACAGATGTATATAACATGCACGAGAGTTTAAAACTACAGCTCACTGTATATCACACCCTGCTGAGCTCCTAGGCGAGTAGATGCAATGGAGCGTGGCGATTGCTGAAGATCAAAGGCACTGCTGGCATTAGTCTACTATAGTATTTAAGAACAGACGTATTGTTTGTGTGAAGACAGCCTTCGCTCAGTGAACATTTATAAGTACCTATGTAGGAGCTATGGGAAATCATTCTTAAAACTAAAAGCAATTAGCGCTTTTTATTAATAGGCAATTGGTTCAAGACATCAAAAGGTATATAATCTACGTGTAAAGTGTATTTCAAGCATGGCGTTATATTGCGAAGGTGTAAGTATCTGTGAATCAAGGCGTATTGTATAATCTAGTCTGAACCTCAACACATCGTCATGTCTAGTGTATACGTGATGGAGCACGTGTGGCCTGGCATCGATCCCGGACACAATGAAGGCAGCATCTGGTACACCGATAGACACGACCCGTTCAATACGCGGACCATG